TACTAGATTAACAATAAGGTATCACCGTTTTACTCTTCAACTAGCTGAATGCAACCACCACTTCTCGCACTTTTCTCAGACTTCCCACCTGTGAAATTATTAATTACCTGATAATTAAAATCTTCAAAAATTTAAGTGCAACGTCTATCGTTATCTTCCATTTTCTTGAACCCTGTTCTTTTTAGTTCTTTCCACAATCTCCACACCCAATTCACAGTCTTCTCATTGTCTTTCATTTTCATTTCCACTTTCACTTTCACTTTCACTTTCACTTTCTGTAACACTTTGCGTTCTATTAGCATTATCGATTTTTCCTACTTTGTCAGAAATTTTCCTCAAACAATTGAAACATATCTAAAATAGATTTTTCATGTTGAAACACCGGTTCTCGTACGGTTACTGAAGTTAAGCAACATCGAGCCTGGTCATTACCAGCTTGGGAATAACAGGTGCTGTAAGCATGGGTGCACGGTTGGTATAAAAGATATACAGCTCGGAATTGGAACACGACTCTCCGAGTTCTAATTCCGGTCATGTTCTTATATTCACTTACGCACAAATACCCTTGGGGAACATATGCATCCGCCTCTTTCTCTTCACACTTTGTGTTAATTAGTAGAATGTGTATCAGTAAAAATCTTTATCTACAAGGAATAATTTTTTTCTTTTTTTTTTTAATCGGTAAAGATCATTCAAAGCAGTAAAGCCACTGATTTGCAAGATACTGTGAAAGAATTAGGAACAGAAATATTAATAATGAGCGGGAAGAGGAAAGGGAAGTACATAGCGATTGACATTGTATTTAGATTTTTGAAGATTAAAGTTGGCTGGAAAGCATGGAAACGGAAAGGAGTTCCACAATCAAGAAGTGCGAGAAAAGAAACTGTTAGCCTAGCATTTACGGCTATATTTAGCCAGATCAACTGTAAATTGATAAGATCTTGACTCCAGTCTAGTGCTGCGCTTAAATTCAAAAACCCTAGCTACCACAGCACAGAGCTCATCCGAAAAATTACTATGAAAGTATTTATAGAAAATACATAGAGTGACAACTTTACGGCCGTTGTAAAGTGACTGGAGCCGAGCGTCCAGATCAGGTCCTATAATATTGCTGATTCTTCTTTGGATTTCAAAGAGTCCAAGATAAATAGCAGTGGCCCCGGATCATATGTCGCAGTAATATTATAATCATGGACGAATGGTAGACTTATGTAGAATAAATTCTGGAAGCAAATATTTTTCTCGCACGACACAGTGGAGAAGGTTTTTTTCTAGCTGACCTGGATTCAATATGGTCTTTCCACTTCATGTCAGCTGAGAACGTTACACCGAGAAGCCGCAACAAAAAAATCTAAATTTAAATTCAAAATACTTACAATTTAAACATTTCTCGCTTTAAATGAGCTACAAAAGGTTGATAAGTTGTAAGAAAAATCAATCACTCAAATAGCTTTTTGTTTTATTTCAGTAATAATAATCGTTCTCGGTGGGCCATTTTAGAATTCTCCGGCTTTTTTCTTTCTTTCTTTCTTTCCTTATATTTTCCGGCATCTATATCTGTTTACAAATCATGTAGTAAGTATCCGAATGCAAATCTTTGACAAGAGATATTTAATACATCAGGTTTCTCGGGTTTCGGTGCCTCAAGAACAGCTGTTTCACAGTTCGAATTCGCATTTCCGCCTTTGTAATTCCAGATTAACACGATTCGAAACCCATTTTAAATTCTCATCATTCTTCGATGTATGGATCTGTTATAACAAATTTAATATAGGAGATAAGAACAAAAAACATAGAATAAGCGGCGACACGACTAGTTTCGTCCAAGAGTTCAAAGTCCTACAAAACCAAATATTAACGCACCAACTCGTGTAATGTTCTTAACGTAAATTGCGACGTACAAGTCGAGTTTTCAAACATAAAATAAAGTCTTTCGAAAATTGGGGTCGACTTATATGGCGGGCATAAGATGCAAACTTTTACCATCGAGTTGTAAAGAGTGGGACAGCACTCCTAACAATTACTGCACCCCCAGCAGGCTGCCACAAAAATATCCCACTAAAACATGTGTTTAATGAAAAACATTGGCATATTAACACAGAAATTAATATAAAATTATAAGAGTAATACAAATTCAGTATTCAGTTAACACTACAGCACACATCACGTCCAGCTGCTGATACACTAAATTGAAACATTTACTGAAGCCCCGTTTAATTCAGATGGCCATTTAAACAACTTGGTATAATAAGTGTGTTATCTGTGCTATTTCATGATAATAATGACACTAATATTTTATAGTTAATGTTGACTTTAATGTTTATATCAGCAGACCTGATAAATTTTAAATGTTCACTAAGTTATACTGATACAATATACGTTAACTAACGATGTGTGTTGCAGGTTTTCTATACAATGCATATAGAATGATATTATTGTTAGTGGCTCTATATGCAGATAACTCTTGCTTTTTTTTTCTTTTCACTGCCAGTACATGCAATCGTGAAGTCTGTTTCTTAATATACTGTAAAATGCAGCATATAAGTTGAGTTTTCAAGCCTAAAAATATCTTTCGAAAATTAGGGATCGACTTATATGGCGGCTATAAAATGCGAACGTTTACTACCGAGTTGCGAACAAGTGAGACAGTGCTCCTAACAATTACTGTACATCAGTTACCGTACCTTTATCAGGATGCCATAAATATATCCCACTAAAATCCCCGATTGGTGAACATATTTAAAATATTAAAAGAAACTGATATGAAATAATAAAATAGTTATACAAATTCAGTATTCTGTTAACACTACAACACAACTTCATGTCCAACAGCTGACACACTAAATGTAAACACTGACTGAAGAAACGTTTAGTTCAAGCGGCCATTTAAACAACTTGGTATAATAAGCGTGTGATCTGTGCAATTTCATGATAATAACAACACTAATATTTTATAGGAGTTGATATTGACTTTAATGTTTTTTATCAGCAGACCTGATACAATATACGGTACCTACCGGTATGTGTTGTAAGATGTTTACTATACAATGCATATAGTAAGTGTTGTGGGGCTATCCCCTTTTTACATAAGATGGACTCGTCCAAAGTATACTTATACTGACAGAGAGAATACCTGGTGTTGAGATACGTCGCGATACAGTCTCGACGTCTGTCGAACTCTCTGCTTTGACAGAGAGGAACCCGGACGAAGCTTTTCCTCGTGGGTGGGATATTAAATACCGAGATACGTTGAGATACGTGGTGATACGTCGAGATACGTTGAGACAGGTTGAGAGATACGGAGACAGACACAAGGTGTTCTCGGAGAGTTATGCAAGAGTCCAGAGAGAGAGAGAGAGAGTGATGATTACGGCTTTACTTACAGAGACTTGTACATATACTTTCTACTAACCCGCATTCCTGGACTACTAATCTTCACTTCAAGTCTGTATTCTTACGTTAAATACACTTCTTTTTCTATCTCAATTACTGGCGTTGTTTATTTATGAATCTTTTATTGATCAGCAAAAACAGCGAAGAGCAAACTTGAAATTTGATTACACAAGGTCGACGAATACGCCGCAATCGATAAAACTGATTAAGAGAACAATAATGAAATATCTAAACGTATTTGGTTTTTCTCTGTCAATTTTAAAAACTAAACTATCCTTGGGGGCTTTCAAAAAAAAATGCTCACATAGATAGATGCAGCCAAAGATAATGTCTGGACCAGAAAAATTTCAGTAATAGATAGAAATAACGATAGATAGATAGATAGATAGATCGAGGAAATAAAAGGGATAGTGTTGAAACTTGAATTGGAATAATAAAATAAGACAAAAGTACTTAAACAAAAATCACAAGAACGTTTTTTAAGTCAATTTAGTTTGTTTTGACTTCGCTAAAATATAGCAAAATTGTAGTTATTTATCTGTAATAAGAAATAAACTTCGTTTTTTGATAAAATCCATTCAGTGACATACTTACGATAGAATGATGAAACACAATAGGATAGATAGATAGATGAATAGATAGAATGAACAAACTGAGATAGATAGATGATAGATAGAATTTAAAAAGACATAAAAGTTCTTAAAAAGTTCCAAAACGTTTATCTCTTTCCTTGTATCATGTTTTTTAGATAGATAGATGATATAAACAGACTTAAATAGATAGATATAGACAGATAGATAGATGATAGATAAAAGATATAAACAGACTTAAATAGATAGACAGACAGATATAGATAGATAGATAGATAGATAGATAGATTGATAGAAAGATGAATGGGCATAAAGTTCCAAAACGTTTATAGATAGATAGATAGATAGATAGATATGATAGATAGATAGATATGATAGATAGAATAGGAACAAACTGAGATAGATAGATAGATAGATAGAAAAAATAATATTATAATAGATGTTAACGAAAAGATAGAAATCCTAGAAAGGGCGATAACAACTAGTAAACTTGAAAAAACTCTTTGAAGTGAAAGATTTTATAAATTTCTTACAGTAATGTCCGACCAATAAAAAAGTATTATATACCACCATTGTCGTCACCATCTTGTAATGTCTGAAATTCCTGCTGAATTTCCCTTGAATAAAACAAAACTTAGATTTGAAACTTCTCCCTGGGGATCCAAGTGCTTCGCGATTGAGAATCAGTGCTATAGATTTAGGCGATATGAGATATGAACAAGGCTGAGGAATCATGCTTTAGATAGATAGATAGATAGATAGCAAATAGATAGATAAAGATTAAGAGAACAATAATGACGTAGATAAACAAAAAAAAGAAACCAAAGATAATGTCTGGAGATAGTCAGAGGATAGATACAAATCAACGATAGATAGATAAAATATAGCAAAATTGATAGTTATTTATCTGTAATAAAACTTTTTTTTTGTTCCATTCAGTGACATAAAAGTTCACAAACGGAGTTGTCTATTTTATCAGTTCTTAAAAGTTCCAAAATGTTTTCATTGTATCATGTTTTAGATAGATAGATAGATAGATAGATAGATAGATAGATAGATAGATAGATAAACAGATAAAAAGATAAATAGATAGACAGATAGATATAGATAGACAGATAGATGAGATAGATAGATAGATAGATAGATAGATGATAGATAGATAGATAGATAGATAGATAGAAGATAGATGGACATAAAAGTTCTTAAAAGTTCCAAAACGTTTATCTCTTTTCTTGTATCATGTTTTAGATAGATAGATAGATAGATAGATAGATAGATATAAACAGACTTAAATAGATAGACAGACAGATATAGACAGACTGAGATAGATAGATAGATAGATAGATAGATAGATAGGCATAAAAGTTCCAAAACGTTTATCTCCTTCATTGTATCATGTTTTAGATAGATAGATAGATAGATAGATAGATAGATAATGAGCAGACTTAAATAGACAAGACAGATATGGACAGACTGAGATAGATAGATAGATAGATAGATAATGAAAAGATTGAGAGATAGATAGATAGATAGATAGATAGATAGATAGATAGATAGATAGATATAAAAGTTCCAAAATGTTAATCTCCTTCCTTGTATCATGTTTCAGAAACATAGATAGATAGATAGATAGATATGAACAGACTTAAATAGATAGACAGACAGATATGCAAAGACTGAGATAGATAGATAGATAGATAGAGATAGATAGATAGATAGATAGATAGATATGAAAAGATTGAGATAGATATTTTTCATTGAACCTATAAGTTTTACAGGAAAGCTGCTGCAGTACCTGAATGTCAAAAATATTGGTTGTGATCGCTAATTAATCATCATTTAGATTTTCTGACAAGACAAGACATGCCAGTTCTATTAATCAGTTATATATATATATATATATATATATATATATATATATATATATATATATATATATATATATAATCCTAACATTAAAGCATTATTTAATTATAAACAAGGTTTGTTGTCAAGTTTTTTGAATTCTCATATACTTGTATTTTGATTGGTCATTGCAGATTATGTAATAGCGTTTTTCATTTGCGAGGGGTGTTTGATTGATTTGAATCTTTTAAAACCCTTTATTCGACATTCAACACCATCACTTGAAAAGAGACTAGAAGTGTTGAAACAAGATGGCTATTTTGTAATGATTTTATAACATATTTATATTTAAATATAATTCATGTTATAATTTTCGAATATATATATATATGTGTGTGTGTGTGTGTGTGTGTGTATTGAATGAAATTCAATTAAAAATAAAAGAAATTACATACACTATATAAAGTCTGCAAAATAAAAATAGACATATACATATATTGTCAATAATATATACGTAGTTTTCTTTTTTACTTTTAACTGAATTTCACTCGACACACACACACGCACGAACACACACACGCATATATATATATATATATATATATATATATATATATATATATATATATATATATATATATATAAAGTTATTAACAACTAGAAAAACTTACATGAAAGTATAATGTTTCGAAAAAAACATGTGACTGTATATTTCACCGTTTAGGCTTCATCGGATCAAAAGTGAAAAAAAATGAGTTTGACTCTATATGTATTTGGGCATGCTTAAGACAATGAAATCTTATTTTTTCCCAATCTAGCGTTGCTCGTGACTAAAATAAGTAACGAACTATCGGGATCATATGAGGAATTTTTTATTATACATATATATATATATATATATATATATATATATATATATATTATAAAATTGTTTATATGATCCTGACAGTTTATATATATATATATATATATATATATATATATATATATATATATATATATATATATATATATGTCCATATCTTCATTCAAACATGTTTGATTGAATAATCTAGACATCTAGACATATTATTAATGCGGTTTAAAATTTTTAAAAATTATGCTCTTACAATTAAAAAAAACATTTATTTCGAAATAAAAATAAAAACCATCCTTGATAACCGCTAATAAAATAACCGAAAGGGCTCAGATATATAAAATATTTCGACAATTTTTAAATATCTTTCTTCTAGGGTGATGTCGTTGGGAGATCTCAACTTCTGGTTGGTAAACTCTTAGCGGCAAGGTCGAGGACGAAGACTAAGACGAAGCGTGACCAATCCCAAAGACTCCAACGGTGGAAGAGTCGGATGACGATTAAAACAGATCTCAACGGTTGAACCAGCAGATAAATAGGGCTACGCATGACGGACATGCTACAGAAGGCGCCACTCGAAATTATAACAGCGTCAGTGGCAGTCCGTTACAGTTTCATAACTGGATTTTGCATGTCTTATTTCATATGTGCCGCTGAGGAAGTTCGTGAAATCAAGTGTGTGGATCACTTCCTGGCAAGTTGAGGCCCAATTTAAACAAATTTACACCATTAGTACTTTCTTCTACCTGGATTTGTTTTCACTTCTAACCAAATCTGGACGTTGGAGACGAATTTAGTCAACTGTTGTTCATGATGACGGTCGTCTTTGAGTATAGAATCCAGAGGTTAGCAGTGAATATTTCGAAGACCGTAGGGAAGCGTAGTTCAGGTTAGCAGTGGATATCCCGGTAAAAGTAGCAGAGCGTAGTTCTTCCTTCTGTTCCTCTTCGCCTGACAAGCTGGCACTGGACATTCGGGTAGAGTAAACAAAATGGCCGCCTTTATACACGACGGATTGAATATTCTACGTCTTCTGATTGGTTAACCTTCTATTGGTGGACTATAAAGTGAGTCAAGTCATTTAGGCTAACTCACTAGATATATAGACAAAAAACTGCAACATCAACGCCATCATAAAGGAAGCGATCAGCAAAGAAGAAATTAAACGACGATTTATATATATATATATATATGTGTGTGTGTGTGTGTGTGTGTGTGTGTGTGTGTGTGTGTGTGTGTGTGTGTGTGTGTGTGTGTGAAAATATATAGAAAATAGGAAGGAACTGGTTAGGTAAATAATCCAAAGTCCCTTAGTATTTTAGTTATTATTTTTTAAAAATAGTGCTCGATACAAAAGTAGAGCATAAATATATATATATATATATATATATATATATATATATATATATATATATATATACAGAGGAGAGATTGAAACAATCCGGAACAGATATTTATATATATATATATATATATATATATATATATATATAGAGAGAGAGAGAGAGAGAAAGAATTAGAGAATCTGGATAGATAGATAGATAGATAGATAGATAGATAGATAGATAGATAGATAGAATCTACGACAAAGTTGAAAAACCTTTTCATGGGAGGCGTTTCGTCCTTTAGGTTATTATCGGACCAAAGAACGAAACGCGTCCCGTAAAAAGGTTTTCCACTTTGTCTTTAATTTTTATAAAATTATTCTCATATACAAAATGTATATATCCTTTCCTCATAGACAGAAAGATAGACAGATTACACCAAACGATAAATTATATACACTGATTATAATTCTCAAAACAAAAATGAACAAAAATATCGCTCAGTTTTTCACAAATTCATAAAATATGAATATTCATTGATATATACATATATATATATATATATGTGTGTGTGTGTGTGTGTGTGTGTGTGTGTGTGTGTGTGTAGACATATATCGATGCTCATAAATATGACTTATAGTTAAATATCCACATATATATATATATATATGTGTGTGTGTGTGTGTGTGTGTGTGTGTGTATTCGCAGTGTGTGTGAGTCTCTGTGTGCTTGTGTGTATATGTCTGTGCGCTTATCTTTCAAGTTGCGGTCTCAGGGCTGCTAGCCTGGTCGATCGTTCCATTGGGAGGGAAGCCAGTCTCTAGACTGGAAGCAAAATATGTTTACGTGCATCGTCACATTCTCCCTGGGGGTGCCAGATCTGGCGCAGTCTCCGTTTCTCGACACCCCAGGCCCGCAAGGGTTGTCTTGTAGCGATGTAATGCTGCCTGTCTTCACAGTTAGGCCGGTACATAAAGGGAGGAAGGGATTTTTTTTTCGCCTGATTCGTCGCAGATTCTTGGCGAGATTCCCAAGTAAAACGACAGCGTTTGTCATTTGTTCTGTCCCTTTTCTCAGTCTCTCTCTCTCTCTCTATCACTCTCTCTCTCACTCTCACTCTCTCTCTCTCTCTCTATCTATCTATCTATCTCAGTCTGTTCATATCTATCTATCTGTCTCAATCTGTTCATCTCTCTCTCCATATATATATATATATATATATATATATATATATGTTTCAATAAACAAGACAAGGCACTACGGTTATCTATCTCACCCTGTTCGCATCTCTCTCTTCATATATATATATATATATATATATATATATATATATATATATATATATATATATATATGTACGTGTTTCATTAAAAGAGACAGACAATGTACTACGGTTAAGCTTTTATTTAATTTTTCTTGTGTTTGAACAAGAGCTTTCTTTTCTGGACAAAGTGTGTAAAAACTGTCCAAATATTTTATTAGAAACATACTAGTAGAAAACACAAATATAATAACTTCATACACCTGTAAAAAAAAAGATTAAAAATAATGGAAGCTTTAATAATAAAAAAAGAAAAAGCCAACTCTTAATAATATTAACAACGAACAAGGCCACTATGTGCTAACCGTATTCAGAAATTAAAAACATCTGTATAACACACTAAAACATACACATAATGCACACACTCAATTAAGTTGAAAAATTGAATCATCCTTGATAATGGCTAAAGGTACACCCGAAAGTGCTCGGAACATAATGAAGTTTTTTCTTCGACATATTGTCCGTCTTTTTATTGATGTTTATACCTTTATTAACCTCGATCGACCCCTGCCGAGCGAGGTTCGAAACCGGTTAGCTCACTCGTTTTACATATTTTTTTTTCTTTCTTTCTTTTTGTTTGTTGTTTATAGATACTTTGTTTCAATAAATTTTATTCCATTACTTGCCTTGAAAAAGTCCACATTGGACAAAACGCGTCGGCTAAAACTAGTTTTCCTAAATATCTTTTTTCCTTTAAACACACACACACATACATACATACATACATACATATATATATATATATATATATATATATATTGTATATTTAGGCAGCAATCCTTCGTTTATGCATGTTTCATTAAAAACAACTGACAAGTAATTTCCATTTAAGAATTTTTCCTATATATTTTATTTATGTTTACAGCTGAGGAAGCAAATCGATTTGATATCTGAACAGAATAAGATAGATAGATAGATAGATAGATAGATAGATAGATATGAACAGAATGACATACATATACAGAATGAGATAGAAATATCTGAAAAGACTGAAACAGGTGTTAACAAAGTGATATAGGTAGGTAGATATTGATGAACAGTCAAAGAGAGATAGGAACTAAGGTAGAGAATATATATATATATATATATAACAGTAAAATGGAAATGGTAATCCGTATGGAATTTCCAAGAATTTAAAGATCCAAGGAGATCCCTATGTCGGAGACAGAGCAAAATTATTAATTCATGAATATCAAACTCTTAAAATACCATAGGTAATAATCTTTATTTCAAGAAAGTTATAAAATAGCTTTCAATCTTTCAGACCCTTAAACTAAATATAAACGGAAAAAGATTACTCCAGGTTAAATTCAAAAGATATAGATATCGTATTGAGGAAGAAAGAGAAAGAGAAGGAAAGATTCAAATTTTATAAACATGTAATGGTGACGGGAGAGGGGGCGAGGAGGAA